AATGCTGCTTTATTGTAGTGACATTGGCCCCTCGGCCTGCTAATAGTAGCCCACTACGGCTGAAGCAGTGTCCATTCATCCAGTGAACGCACCGGGATTCTCTAATTTAAGGAAAGACGCAGTTTTAGCGGAATGCTCCCGAAAGTATGGATGCCAACAGGTTGTTGAGTACACTTATTTTTTGAATAGATTTTAGTTCCCGGTGGACGTAAAGATCGGTACTTTGGACAAGATTTAGCCACGATTGTTCCGTAATGCAAGCGGTTCGCGGTTTATGTGTTTTCGATCGTGGATATGAATGATGATTAGATCACCACGATCTTCCTCTCTACGACAGGCAGCACAAAAGTCGATTACCAACGCTACCCTCGAACGCTACCTAAAAATAATAATCATAATAATAATAAAACGTCTTTTTTTGGGTTGAAAACAGTAGAGGGAAGAGAACTAAGGACTAGTTTACATTAATCAGGAGATAGTCTTCATCTCGAGCTTCAGTAATAAATCGTTCGACTTCTTCTATTTCCAATACTTTTGATTTTTTAGGTACAAAACCACAATTCATCTTTTTAGGACAACTATTACCTTCGTGTAATGAATATTTGCATTATGCTTAATACTCGGCTTAATATTTAAGGTATAGATTTTAACATTGAAAAGTTGTAGATGCTTTGAGCGTCTTCGATATATGTTCAAAATAGGCCAATAAAACATATTCATTGCAATTATTGTGTATGGAATTGTTATTGCACCACTTCTTAAAATTTTCATACTCCTTCGAGTATCGGAAAGCGGACGTACTTGGAAGTAAGTCATTTATGACTTTTTCTGCCGCTTCCTTGATATGAGTGAGTACCTCCATCTTGTTGCAAATTTGTGTATTTGTATATATGTAATTAATAATGTATTTATGTAATTATAAAAGAAAATATAAACTTAAAAAACTCGGACATCAAACAATTTAAAATTTGGAATGTATCATGTACCAACTGTCAACTGATTAGTGATAATACCAACCTACAAAATTAAATGCACTGACAATACCAATTTCTAAATTTGAATATTTGAGTAAAGATTTGTGCTTTTTTTTCGAATTTCGGTACAAAAAATAGTGTGTACCTATTACTCATCCATAAAAATGATTTGCGAGTATTCGTAATTTAGCTTCGCTTCGGCCTCCAACCTTATCTACTCATACTCGCAAACACACATTTTCTGAACTTGCGGTACAAATAACTATTTCTACTCCTATACTTTAATTAATATATTAAACATTTGCCACCTGTACTTAAATGATAGTTATTTCGATATAGATTTTCATTAAGATACAAGTTTACGACCAATAGAAATACAGCATCACGGGAATGCGACGCATAATTTATGCAAATCAAAGTTGCTACAACAATTACAGATCTCAAATTTATTAGTTTTGACACCTGCTGGGCATAGGTAGCAAATTGGTGGTTCGTTTTCTTATGAACTAATCTAAGATTCCAATCGGCGATCATCTTGAATAAATTTGACAGTATGACACTCCGCTGGAACGCGTTATCATGACTGCACAGTGCGCATGCTTTGAGGCGAGGCCTACGATATTACAGACCGGAGCGCTCGAAAAAATCAGGTGACCTTAGGAGTCAGTTCGGGACACACTATATAGTTATTTGTATACTAAGGCTGCGAAATGATTTACCGAGAAAATAACTTTCAGCCTAGGAATGGAAGTCTTCGTTGATGATGCTAATGTAGAGAATGACAATATACCTGCAATATTCTGTTGGTCATACCATAAAGTGACATATAGGTAAAATACTTTAATATAAAATTAATATTAACTAAGATTATAAAGGATATATTCCATACTTTTGACTATCCCTGTATCTAATATTTTTAATGTTGTTAGTTTATCTAAACCTTACAAACTCCATTTGAAAGTCGGTTAGTAGGTAATAAGTATTTGAAAAATTTCCTTTGATTCCTGAAGTCGCGCTATTTACTAAAACTGCTGAAAAAAGGAAAAAAAAGACTATTCCTTAAAAATTGCTTCTGAAAAACATTTGTGTGTCCTTTGGGCACAATTCGTTCGATATATGTGATCCGGAATAAAAAAATAAATAGTGAAGCCGCGCACGGATTTTCCATAAGCCGTAATGTATTTAATGTGTCCCGAACGGACTCCTAAGGTCACGTGACTTTTCCGAGCGCTGCCGCCTGTAAGTATCCTAGGCCTCGTTTGAGTTCGCTAACTTCGCTAAGCGCACACAATAAAAATCTCACATTTTGGACCGCTTTTGAAGCCATCATAGCATAACCTCTTTATATATCAAAAATAGTGTATGAAACTCGCATTTAAATCATAAGCCATTAAATGATCATTGCATAATATACTAATTATGAATTGGATAGATGAATATGAATCGTTACATATGGGTTTTTGGATTTGCAAGTTGACCTCTGCAGTTTATAATGCCATGTAGTTCAGCAGTTCAACATTTCATTGGCAATAGTGTGGGTAAATTGGGAAGTATATTCTCGAGTATATTCCTATGTAAGATTAAATTACAAATGACTGTAGACGTGGCGTTTGCCACCTTTCACATGACAAATTCCTTAATCAGAAATCTGAGGATGTTATTTCATAACTAAAACTTTATGTTGCAAGAAGATAATAAGAAAATAAACTAAACAAATATAGAAAACGAGCTCCTGGGTTAACTGATAAGAAAGTTGGCACTACACATCCCACACAAAACCAAATTTGGAAAATGGCCCTACATTTGCTTTTATTTCAAGTGGCTATGTATCAAATTTATGGTTTCATTTAGATTTCCACGAGGTTTATTATTATTATTAGACATTATTTCTAGTATCACTCGTGTGTGTTTAATTTAATTTGAATGCTTCCATAAATAAGAAAGTTGTCACCGCGCATCCGCAAAACGAAATTTTGAAACTGGTGTTAAATTTGGTTTTATTCCAAGTAGCTATGTATCAAATTTCCTTCATAAATAGAAAAAGTTGCAATTCGGTTTTTAAATGGTCGAGATGCGAAAAGGGCACTGTGAATGTTGATCGATTAGGCTGAATTTTTGGAATTGCATTTGATATGACTAAAGCTATACGCATATTGAATTTCATTCAATTCGGTTCATAACTCACGGAGATGTCAAAAGGGCCTTCCTTATTTTTTGGGCTACATTGCCAATTCGAGAACTCCGATCTACAAATTTGATAAAGAATCCACCTACAAAATTTTATCGTAATCGGTCCATTCGTTATCGAGATATCGTGCTAACTGGCGGACAGACGGACAGACACCGCAAAATTATAAACTCGCTGGGAGCTCGTTAATAATAAAAGCTAATCAGAGCATACACCTGACAATCCTACCGGTCACATATTGTGTGCTAGAATCGATGCCACGAAGAGGGAGTGTGTAACTAATAGTGGGCGGACCAACCCATTATTAATTCTTTTTTTTAAATTTTAATATAATTTATATTATTTAATATAATTGCTGCCTTTTAGTAGTTAAACGTTTCTGCCAAGGTTGGGCAAAAATCTCCGCTCCTTCTTGGTGTTGCGATTTTCATGACACTGAGTATATCAATAAATAGGCGGGCAGAGTAACGAGGGGTTACATTTCAGGGTGATTCGTTTGTTCGGATGAAGGCCAATTTGCAATGGTTGCCCTTATAAAAGTTTGGTAATATGCTCAGGTTCGTAATGTGGTTCGATTTGTAACATTCTTCTTATAATTATCTTTGTTTATTGTTGTTGTACGTTGGGACCTACTTCTCGTACTTTTACTTCAAATGATTTTTTGTTGTTCCAATGTTTGCAGTTTAGTGGCTGGCTCATTGGTAACAGTTTTTTATATTTTATTTTTCATTGTTATTTTTGTTTGCTTGTCCCGATGATGCCCCTTACAAAAGTAAATAATCCATTGAACACTGGCGCGTCTTTGAAACACACTGTTTACTCCCTTTGTAAAAAGAAAAACTGTCATGAAATTTACAAAAGATTATCTCAAAACAAAATACATTTATTATAAATGAACATGAAAATTAAAGAAATTTCTACAGTCCCTCTAAAATTAGAGAAAAACCTAATCCTAACTGCAATAAAAATATTCCTGCTGACCAGATAATTTATTTAACATAATAAACAATAAATAATGATTTCTTTAATATGCGTTCTTTTGATTCACCAATAATTCGCGTAAAAACTGGAAGTAATAAAAAATATAAAAATATCTTATCACTGTTGAAGTTGTCACCGTTGACAATCTCGCTGGATCAATTTAAGGAATTAGACAAAATCATATTTTTCGATAACTTGTAGTTATTTTCTGACGTGTTATTTTTTTCTACATGACCAAGTTATCTTCTTAGCTATTATTATATATTATATTTTGGTTTTTGAAAATAAATGTAAAAAAATAAACGTAAACACATTTACAATACTTAACATTCACAGGTGTAAATTAAGCTTTACGTTATCACACATGGATATTGAGTTTGTGATATCTTTGCTAAGAGAATTCCTTTTCATGACACCCACCCAAAAACCTGGTTAGTGAATTTATGATCCACATAAACCTTCAAACACGGATGACTTTCCATACCAGAAAAAGATAAACGGGTCTGAGGATAGAGAACACTCCTTGTACTTTGCTCAACGCCGCACGACTCAGGCACGACCCAAGTTGCGTCGAGAAAAATTTCAACACGTCTCGGAAGTTAATAACTAAAATAATATATAAATATATATAAATAAATAAAATAATTTATTAACAATCGCTCTTAACTCTAAAACAGATCTAAAATCTATTAACATAATTTAAATTCTATTACTTAAGATAAATTAGAATGAGAGAATGATTGTTTGGTCTTTGGTTCTTTTCACGAATTATAAATTTTACCGCATAAATTACATTATAATACTAATACGTCTTCCAAAAATAACGATGAAATAAATACTAAACATAATTTTTGAAAAAAAAAAAACTATCCTGCTTTGGCTATATCATTGTGATTAATCGAGTTAGTTAAGTCATCTATCGCAATATATATATTTTTTACTATACTGTCTATATCTTCATACCTACTAATTATCGCTCTATCTGCAGTCATTGTCACTCCTAAACGATTATCGTAAGTTGAAATGAGAAAGCTAATACCTAAAAATGTTTACATTATGCCTTAATCAGTTCATCACTTCTGCATTTCAAATCTTACCAGTCCTCGTTGTTTCTTTGGAGATTGACCAGGCGACGATATCTTGTAAACTATGCCCATTACAAAAGCTCGTTGCTCTTGGACCAGGTAAATTGGTAACAATAGCCGTGTAACGTGCGGTATTGAATAGGCGTACTAACATTGGAACTGGAAGCAATGCAAATAACGTATGGGTCACAGTATAATCTGCCTGCAAAGTCAAATGCGTTACATAATATGACTGCTTTAACTGAAAAATGTTACCTCTACTGCAGTTGGATTTTTAAAATAACTGCCTTGTTGGCTGATTAATTCCAATTTTTTATCGGCCGACATGTGCTGTTTACCTATTGGAAGTTTACGCAATGAAAATTTCACCTTGTTCTCACAAACACTTTGTTTTTTTGTGTTGCGGGTTGTAGCAATTTGTAACAAATTAGTTGCGTGAGGTACCTCTGGAGTTGCAACTGTAATATGCGACGGGACATCGCCTGATGCGTTAAAATACTTGGTTAAAGCCATAGAAATAGCGGTGAGAACAACGTCAGTGAAGGATGTACCGGGAACCTTTTTCTTTGCTGTTTTGATGGAGTCAACGTAGTATGGAGTTTCTTCAATGTTAAATCCAAATAACTTCTCGTTGCGTAACTTTTTTCCGCATAACATATTGCAATCTTTTGCCAACGTTTTCGTCAGCATAAATAATCTCCAGGGTGTAATTACAATGATACCAAGGTGTTGAATGTATGATCTAATCCAGGCAGACATAGTACACCTTACTGTTGGTAATCCGCCTTGCTGTGTAACTTGTTTTGGTAGCCTTTCATCGGAGAAGTTATTGAAAATCGTTTTTAATAAGTGATACCCGTCAAATAGAGAATGGTGGTATCTAAATAAAATGGGATAAAAGTCTGCGTCTTCATCGGTATTTTCAGATTTCCACTGAATCGGGTTGGTGCCGATAAATACATCCCAAAGGCCAGCGTTGTCTTTTGGCAGTGGCGTATCTTCACGTTCATGTAGGAACTGCATAAATGTCGACTTATCCGTAACCTTCTTTCCATCATTCGTAACAGTTATCTTGTGAATGCATTCACTTAGTGTCACCTGGTTTTTGAGGTAGTAAAAATATCCCATAGATTTCTGAAATATGGCACGAGTTTTTGGACAGATAATTAAGCTTGTACTGTATACTGCATTTTCAAACGTTTGATAAAAACTTGTCGGGTTACTTTTCTTGTATTTCAGTACGAAAAGTACTCCCAGCTTGCTTTCTCTTGATGTTTCAAGAACGTGTACGGCATCTGCTGCGTTAAGTAGACCACCGAAGTCTTTTCCATGCTTCAGTTTAATTAAAACACGCACTAATTGTCGATAAGCCAGTAGTACAAGCATAAACACTGTTATAACAGGTGCAAACAGCACAATTAGCAGTAACCAACCGAACTCCGTGAAATTAATTGTGAAGAATCCTGGATTGTTCTAAAATGTAGCGTTCATATAATCTAAATAATCAATATGTTGCATCTTACCTTCATTAGATGTGAATATTTCACGGCAACTAAGGTGTACAGTACCGATAAAACCGCCCACGCTTGGAGCACCGTGTGCACATAGGCAGTGTCCATTTTGATGCGATGAATGAACGAAAAAATTGCACCGATCTATATATAGGGATACAATTGAATTAGTGATAAGGTCATAGCGCTTTCGAGATTAGATATTTATTACAAAAAAGTTTAGGTGTAAGTAAAGTACATTAAGTCCAAGGAATTCCATATACATCCATAATTTTTTAAGCATGCGTGCGACCGCTTGGGTACTTACAGTTTGATACGATTTCGAAAATATTTCTTAGTTTTCGAGGGGAAAATTAAAATTACTCATAGAAAGTCACATTCGACCAGAATTGTCTTTTCGCTCTACTACAACGAATCGGGAAAGAAGGAAATATATGTATCAAGATTGTTATCTCAAGATTGATTTGCTTACTCTTTAAGATTGAGCATTGAGCAATATCCACATTTTTTTGTTCTTATCAAATGTACAGTGGGATTTATTACGGCTAAGTGCAAATGTCCTAAGGTAAAAGTGTGACTAATGTCGAACTATACCCACTGGGTACGTATGAACTGAACTCCGTTATTGATAATTGTTGGTACAATGACGAGTTGCATCAATTACATAGATAATAAGTGTTCTTTGCCCACGTCCTAAAATTAAAAATATTTGAAGGTTCATGAGTACCGGAACGTCCACTTTGTGACTATCAAATTTAACACACACTATGTAGGTGGTTTTTCATTTTCGCGAAATCTAGGCGAGATTTACAAGTACTTGCTCAAGTGTTATTTGTAAACATGAAGATAATTTTAGTTCGTTTGCGTACGTGCAACGTTATTTTCAAGTCCCCAGTGCAAACATTATTTAATAAATCCTTGTAGTATCGACTGTCAAAAGTATGATAACGATAATGTTATTTTGATTAATTGATTTAAAAGTATTATTGCTGCCGCAACATTTTGGTACAATTTACACATTTCTATGGTTAAATACAACACACACCTAGGTATATTTAATTTAAAAAGTTATGCCCGGTTCAAAAACACTTTGAGATATACACCGATTTACACTAAACGTGAAAACGTGGTAAAAGTAGTTTTTTGCACAAAAGTCAAAAACTTGCAATTTTGATCTGATCTGTTAACAGTAAATCACTCTACCCTTTAGAGTACTTAGGTCGTTTAATTACTCACTGACTTTCTCGAACGCATGGTTCGAAAAACACCGCATCATAACCAAATCAGTAACAATACTCAAGACTCTATTTCCTTAAAAACTTATTTAATCATCATGAGAAAGCTGGAGTAGATTCCACTGTCATGCCCCATTTCTTTTGGGTTTTGACCTTAAAAGTTGATTAAGGTTAATTGGAAACATTGGGAAGGACCGTTTTATAATTCCAATTAAGGATAATTAGGGCTCTACCGAATTTTTATGAATTAATTCGGAAACTTGATAATATCGAAATGAAGGTTTGTAGGGTGAGTAGGCTCAAAAGTCAGACCAAATCTTTTAATCCTTGATAATATCGTATCGAAAACCCCGCCGTTGGACACGAAGATGTTGGGGGTAAGCTTTAATACAGACGTAAGGATTCTGGGAATCTGGCTGAACTTGGAACGTCCCTTGGGTACAGCAAATAGGTTTCGTTGGGTATGTTCGTTCAGGTTCGAGTGGCTCTGCAAGGGTCACTGTCCTGATGGGGTCCGTTATCAATGTACGCGAGTAAGTGGTCCAAACACTCGATTTAGATGTGTCTAAAGGTTGATAAACAAAGCAATTATGTCTCTAGATAAGCTACTAGCTAGACGAAGGAGATGCTTATCCGTTCGATGGGTCGCTAATCTGTAGGGACCTGTAGGGTTTACGAACGCGAGTCGCAAAACTGTGATTTGTCAGGTTCCGTCTCGAAAGTGCGAATTGATAATTAGAGTTGAACTTCCGGTGTGAGTAGGTAAACCATACGCTCGTTTAGGTATCAGTTGAATGGTTGGCATCTAGTTGCTATTGTATTTATAAGTACAATGGTAGTGCTTTTAGTTTGAATTGACACAATCACGAAAATAAAACGTTCACGTTTCAAGTGTGTCTGAAGGTCGATAAACAAGGTGATTAATATCTCTAGGTACGGTAGTAGCTGGTACAGGTTTACTTTTATACTTATGAAGCGCTCCTTTTATAGTTTTGTACCGGTGGAGTTCAAATAGTGCTGTCACTGCCAACTTATCTAGATCTTCCTTTACGAATGAACTAGTAACCGGCGTAGAAATGCATCGTTGCCATACGGCATGCGGGGTGCGAAATGAAATAAATTCTCTATATCGAGAGGCAGCGCAGCTCGGTATACCTTGCTCTCGCTTTGGGATTGAAGATGTTCCTGTGTTGGTCTAGCTAGAAGTTGACTTACGCTCGTGAAGTGGTCGAAACCTGGGTCGAAAGGAAGATTTGCTCATCTGATCGCAGATCGATCTCATCTAGTTCTTCATGAAGAGAGAAATGGTGCATCTCACTTTCATCCTTCAAAATATCTTTGTTGAAACTTATGATGCCATTATTGGTTATTTTATGGCTCTAGCTCTTTATTGCGTGTACAAATTAAGGTTCGATATTTTTGTGTGTGGACTGTATGAATGCAATTGCTTGCTATCCTTTTGTATAAGAGGGAGGTTGAAAGAGTATCGACACTAATGATTAACGTGTTTATCGATTAAAAATAAAAATAAAGAAATTTGGTAAATTGATACGCTGCATGTAGGTCCTATAAAATAGGAATGATTACGAAAGGAATATGAGTAAAAGGACTTACTTGTTGTTTCGAAGTAGGTATGTACAGTTATATAATTATAATTTGAAGAAAATGGCATGCTTCTTTTATATCAGACATTCTCATTATTAGTCGTTGAAGGACATCTTGTATTCTTCTTCGATTGTTGTTCGACGAGTGTGCATATTCATGTTTAATTCTAACTTCGGTCGCTCATGCGCCGCACATAACAAGTGGGAATATACGGGGACGGGCGAAATAGTTACATACAGAGCGTGCTAAGGATAACTTTTCTAAAGGAATTTCAAAAGAATAACTAAAGAAAGGAACAAATTATAGTTTCGGCACGCACACGAAATTCCGCTTAGAGTCTCTCAGGGCCGGCCCCTGATTCGGCCCTATACACTCAATCGCATAGTTTCGGATGCCCTGGCAGTATCCATTTCGACTGGATGTACAAATAATCGGTACAAGAGGGGATTATAAATTGTGAAAAGGTGTGGTTTACACCACGAGTTCCCCTACATGAAATACATGAATATTTAGCTCGATTTAGCCATTATAATGTCTAGGAACAGGAAAAAATTTATCAGGACCAAATACCTTACAAATAATTGACAACTTGGACGGTCTGATAATAATGAACGAGACGATAGTGACACCTTAATAATAGATTATTAGGAGTATAAGTTACACTTTATGTGACCGAGTATGAAAGTTTAAACGCCGAGCGTAAGCCATAGAACAACAAACTTAGAATGGAAACTGTAATGTAATGTAAAAATGACACGCCATCTCGTGTATGTTCTCAGCAGCTTTTGCGTGAATGGCGCCAAATTTAAATATTAAAATGTAAGCTACACTTTATTCCGTATAACTTCCGTTGCACGTCATCATTTTCTGTGACGTAATTACTATGCAATAATGCCAAATCTAGTTTTGAACGATTTAGGTTATGCTTATGTCACTTGTCAACAAGACAGTGCATTCTTTGTGTGAACAATCCACACCTTAAATAAAATAAAAATAATTTTTATTATTCATTTCGTTAATTGGAACCACAATATACATACAATATACTTTAATAACTTATGAACTGTACAAATGTAGCATCTCTTTTACAGAGAAAGTACTAAATATAAAATTTTACAGGTTATGTGATGTGATGGATGATATTCAAATTAATCGGAATCATCGGAACTGCTTTCGTGTTCAAAGTTTATAATAATAGTAGCAACGTTTTCAAGATCTAATTGCTTTTCTCTTTCGTACCACTCGTGTATTACAGTTTCCGTATCCTTAACTGAATTGCGCCACGTTTCGGAAGTTATCGGTTGTAGTGTTTCTTGTCACATGTTTATGCAATTTTCAATGCTTCGTCCATCTCTACCCATGTGTCGATTGTAATAATTTTTCGCTATGCCCCAAATATGTTCGATAGGATTATTAAAAACGCGATGATAGGGTGGTAATCGTAAAACGAAGTAACCGTATTGCTCGGCTAAGTGGTCAATGCGTTATGCGATACATTTTAGCTGATTTATTCCTAAAAGTATCAACAAGATTTAGATAATACCAAATAATTTGCGAACGTACTTACTGTGCAACCTTTTCAACAGTTCGGCTTTAAAATCATTTTCGGAGAACACATTATGATCTCCTAACCACACTTTAATGTTGTCTGTTTTCCCGTTATCGAACACAATTACTGACGGGTTATCAAAATTCTTCAGTAATTACTCTTCAAACCAATGCACAGCGAAAGACGTAGAAAATAATCAAAATCAAATCAAACGAAAAGTAAACCAAAAGCAACCTGTCAAATTTACAAATTTAAACGCGACAACATAGCGAAATGCTACCAATTGTTGCGGCCAAAATAAACTACAAGCTTAATGTGTTGCCTAATAAACGAAAGTAAATTTACGTTGGTACGTCGTTTTCTTCAGGCAATGACGTGCAACGGAAGATATACTGAATAGACCGTACGTCCGCATTATACCAATTTCTCCGGATCTGTAACAATAACATTGGATTTGACTAGCTGAAACCTAAAACGTAAATGAATCCAGCCAGTGAAGTCCAATCTTGTTTGTTAGGGATCCAAATAAATTCAGTTTAATGCGGATGCACCTCACCAGTCAGGGCCTTCAAAGAGTACAGGGCACTTGTTTTATAAGTAACAACTCCAATTAATCCAATCAAGGAGTTATATTTAATTTAATATGATTATACAAGATACAAGATCAACTTCATGGAACTCTTACTGTATGATGCTCTCGAGATCGCTCTAAAAACAAAATATGTAGCAATTTATTACAATTCAATTAGTGTTACCTGCTAAATATAATGTGCGAACTGCCACACGCTTTAAATCTTTTCGTGTTCCAGGTTCTAAAGCGCAGTCAGAAAAATGACGTTCACAAACCAAAAAATTTTGTGTAAATTTCTTCCACATTATATTCTAAACCAATTCTTAAAAACTTCGGGCTCCATTTTTGGGAAAAGTCTTCACAATTTGTCACACAACATTTACGTTCTCGAATTGTGTGTAATAATGAATAGTAATTATACTTAAAGCACAATAAGCCGTCAATCAAAATTCAAAATTCAACTGTCATAATGGCGCACACGCACTA